ACTCTGCAGCGCTTTCCTCTCTCCAGCTGTGCAACCTCCATTCCACACCCTGATGAAGGAGCACAGGATGCTCTCCACTGCACACCTGTAGAAGGAGGTGAGGACTAAACTTCCCAGACCAGCTCGCCTCAGCCACCTGAGGAAGAAGAGTCTCTGATGAGCTTTCTTGATCAGGCTGGTGGTGTTGTTGCCCCAGCTGAGTTTTGTCATTCATGTGCACACCCAAGTACTTGTAACTGGAGAACATTTCCACCGCTGATCGGGGTGGTGGGAGTAGGTGTGTTTGCTTCTTCTGAAATCCACAATCAGCTCCTTCATCTTCTTCACATTGATGTGGAGGTTTTTCTCTTTGCACCAGCTCTCCAGGCATTCCACCTCATGCCTGTAGCTAGACTCGTTGTTTGTGATGCATCCCACCATCACTATCTCGTCTGCAAACTTTACAATGTGACAGCCTGGATGGGTAGGTGCACAGTTATATGTGAACAGAGTAAAGAGGAGGGGACTCAACACACAGCCCTGAGGGGAGCCAGTGCTGAGGGGTATGGTGGAGGAGGAGAAGTTGTGGATCCTCACAAACTGAGAGAACTGAGAATGAGCAGGTCCTACAAGCTTGTTTTTTTTTTTCATTTTAACCTCTATATTTTCATTCATTCAACCTTTATTAATTCAGTTTAATCCCATTTAGCCTTGGAGACTCATTTAGAAGAGAGGCCTGATTCATAAACAATAAATTTGGATCTATTTAGCACCTCTTGGTAATTTGTAATGACTTCCTTTTCATACTTTGGATGCAACTACTTTTTGTGTCTTGCTTTTAATTGTTTTCATGCACTTCAAAAAAACATGACAATACCCTTTATATATTTCTTGGTTCAAATTAATAATGAATGCAATATCTTTTCATCTTATTTTGATGCTTGCAATTTCTAAGTGAATGACTTAAAATACTTCATGTACAATATTTATTCTTAAGCCAGCTGCTAAAGAGGACAGAGAAAGGAGGTAATGAAACACCTCGTGCTTCATTTTTTCCATCATTTCTATTTTAAACTGTGATCCATGTTGCTCACTTTTAGTTTAGTTATAGGATTCTGGGCCACTCGTTTCTTTTGACCAAACTCTTAAGTGTTACAACTCAACACACTGAGAAAAAAGCTGATCAATTTGGAAAGTGCAAGCAATTAAATAGACTTTCCAAATACTTATTTATTATTCATGCAAGATGCACAACAAAGGATGGTAGTCACTGATGCATCACGTGTAAAGAATATCTAAGTCTGGTAATGTATGTAATATTGATTGCTAGAAAATTGTATTTATTTATTTAGAGATTTTTACGTAAAAAAAATACAAACATTATATGGCCCAATTATGTAACAAAATTGGCAACACACAAAATTATGAGCTATAAACAATATATTTGATTATCTGACATTTTATACAAATATTAATTCGTAATGCAGGAGTTGAGACACAAGTCTGTCTGTCTATCTATCTATCTATCTATCTATCTATCTATCTATCTATCTATCTATCTATCTATCTATCTATCTATCTATCTATCTATCTATCTATCTATCTATCTATCTATCTATCTATCTATCTATGTTTTACGTGTCTAACTTGTGATATTTGTAAAGATAATCTTATAATTGTTCATTCTCATTCAACTTTTATTTATACAGGTTAGTTCCCATTGAGCCTCGAGGACTCATTTACAAGAAGGACCTGTTGTTCAAAACACTGGCTTGATGTGGAATATAAATGTTGACTGAAAAATTATAGATTAGCTCCTGAAATGTTTTTGACATGTGTTTGCAAGTTGTGTTTTCATTTCTGAGTTTGTTAGTTTGTTCATAAAACTATAGTTAGATGCTTGACCCGGCAGGCTGTGACCAAAGGCTATACACTAGTATAAAAGCAGAAGGATTTAAATATATTAAACAAAATGGGAGAAATGTGAGCAGAGTCAGGTTTGTTTCCATGCATCACTTTTTAAATGTTGACTTTTTCTTTGGTTGTTTGCCATGCCTGAACGATTGTTCTGGGTTTTATCAGCTGTGATGAAAAGGTTTCACATGAGCAAATAATGGCCAAGTTTAACATGTTAACATTGGCCCTACAGATCAAATTGCCCTTCTAATAATAATAATAATAATGATGATATATATATATAAAAAATCTCATGGTTATGTGAAAACACCGGCATGTAAAATGTATAAAAAATATCCAAACCTCTAGTAAACAACAAAAATATTGCAGTTAAAAGGCAAATAAAGTTCTTTTTGCACTGTATTGTGTCAAATCATCAGCTGCAAGAAGCACTGCTGCAGGATGACCCATCACACGTGATTTGGTGACACATTTTAACATCTCTGTATTAAATAATGTGAAGCTCCTCACATCCCAGGGCCAAGTGGGAGATCCATGCACACTCCGTGCGTATTTGCGCCAAAGACATGATCTGAACCCCGGAAGATGAGGATCTTCTTTCCGAGCATCCCTTGAATCCACCCTGCTCTGTTTGTCCTGCTCTCCTCTCAGAGGCAGCAGCCGGTCCATTTTCCTGCTGTCTCCGTTGCACCGTAAATAATCCTGATAAAGACGCAGTCGAAAACGACTTTCACGCGCCCACCCTCTCCGTTCCCCACCTCCTCCCATTGATTTAAAGTGACCCCCGTTTCCAAATGATATTGGAGGGCCTATTTAAACAGATGAAGTCTTAAATTGTCTTGCTTGTATGCGCATTAATCTCCCATTCATCATCATTACGGTGTGATCGGCGCGTCCACGCCTCCGCCAGCCTCTTGGCTTTGTAAATTAGGATGTAATCCAATTTAAACAGCAGCAGCCACACATCCACAGACCCCCCCCCCCCCCTTTTTTTTTGGTCTTCTTTCTCGGTCGGTGGACAGCTGCAGTGCGCCGCCCCTATCTAAACGCTTTGTGCCAGTTGTGGGATCTGCAGAACTCTGAGCCAATTCTGGCTAATAGGATTTTAGAAGGCTGCGTGTAATTGCTGCAGTGTTTCTATGAAGCCCGTCATATGTGCACGGTCAGTCTCGCTGCATGCGATCCAAGCTGCGCGCTGAAGCAGGATCAGGCAGCGAGGACAGGTGAACAGTCATAGCATCTCCAATGTGCGACGCAATCGGCTCTGAATCCTTCCATTCTGCGCAAAAGTCTCCAAGTTTTTTTATTTTTTAAATATCTTTAAAAAAATTCAATATAGTTTTTTTAATATCTTTGCATGGTACAATTTTTGTTTATCTTTTCTTGTTTAATTACGCGCGACACAAATCGGGTTTCTCCTGCTGGACCTGCGCGCGCCTTTATCAGGCTGATGTGCTTCTACATAAATCTGCTTCGACCCGGGAGGCTTAAACGCTGTATTATTCCAAACATATGCATTTTAATCAGCTCGGTCACACTTACAAGAACTCCAGTTAATAAGGCCATCAATCAAGAGCGCGTGAGCAGGAGTGGAGGGAAAGGGGGAGGACGAGGAAGAGGAGGGTGCTTGTTTGGATGAAGCAAAAGCGTCAATTTGGAAAGATATTTTAAATTGGTTTATGTTTTAATTTGGATTAAATGGAATGACTTAAGGAAAGATGGTGGATAAATGGAGAAAATGGAACATGTGTTGCCAGATTGTGTTTGCAATTACGCAGTTGAAGAATGTGAAGGCCCGCGCGCTGAAACTGCATGTTTCTGCGCAAATCTATTTTTATTTATTAAAATCCTTGTTTTATTTGTATTTTTTTGTTACAAAAACTGGCTTTCTACCTCTCTGAGGGCCACGTTTCAGAAAACTGGTTTCATTTGCCTCGTTCAGACGTGGCCAATTAGGATCCTCTCCTGATTGTTGGCAAATCCCCCCCCCCGGTCAAATAATCGATCTCTCTTCGCGTTTCCAATATCTTCAGACGACTATGTCTATTAAGTAGTTGTTGTTTTTCAGAGAAAGAAAAAAAATATGAGGGGCGTTAACGGAGCCCGGGGACCACTTAGCTGTCATGGTCAATCTAACCACCCCGCCAGGAATTTTTTTTTTTTTTTGGGGGGGGGGGGGGGGGTGTATTTTGACAGTGTCCACTTGGGATCTAAATGATAGCGTTATTATCAAAGTAGAGAGAGTGTGTTGTTGACTTGTTTTGAACGAAATCTAACGAAAATACTCTAAATAATATTAACAATAATAATAATAAATATAATAATAATTATTATTATTATTATTAAAAATTAGGAAGCTGATTGGACTTTTTTCTATTTGATTTTGAAATAAATCAGACTTGTGTTCATACGCTGCGTTTCTTCTATGACATAATTTATTGCAAATTAGGTGAAACAATCCAGCCAAAAGACAAACATTAAATGAAGCAGAATAATAATAATAATAATAATAATATTTTCAAGAACTCCCTTTTGAACATCTGATGTATATATATATATGTATAAAAAAGCACGAAATCAGTCAGGAAAAAGTAGCAAATCGGTTCCCAAATGCACAATTTAATCACTTTAAAAAAAAATCTGATTTAATATTACAACAACATGGGTGGAACAACGACAGTGATGTCCTCTTCTTGCTCTGATTGTCCCCCCATCCATTCTCCTCCACCCCCCCTCCTTCACCAAGCCGTGCAGGGCTGTAATCCGTTCCCTCGGCGCCTTGTTACCTTTTGGCAGCAACGATCCCTTCCTGGTATTATCATTAATTCAACCCTCAAAACGGCCCGGCTCTACATATACATCACTTTACTAATTTTCCTTGCATGTGCACATTTCTGCTCTTTTGCTCCTGTGCGGGGGGAGTTAATGAGACTTCCACAGTCTGTTCAAAGAAAAAAAAAAAACCTCCTTGTTAGGAGGAGATGTAAGGCATCATTCTCGCACATGGAGGTGGATTTTGAAAGGAAAAGGACAAGATATGACAAAAAAAAAAAAAAAAAAACAACAACTTCAAAACAAATGAAATGAACGTCACATCCGGTGTGCATGCAGCCTGCTGCTCTGGCTCTGCCATGACAATATGTTGTGCGTCTTTGCTGTTTTTCTTCATGTGTGTTCTCTACCTTTGTCCCGTGGTGTAAAGGCTGATGTGACAGAAGGAGGTGCAGGAGGAGGAGAAGGTTTGTTTTGGTTTTATCTGGTGAGAGCCACTTCTTCTCTCTGATCTAGAGTCACAGATGATTTGCTGAGCACTGAAGGCGTAAAAGTGACAAAAGCGTCCGTCCTGCTTGTTGGGGAGCAAGAGAAGTCCGACCCGGTGGGTCTGGTGGGGAGGCCGTTGGACTGAGAGGAGTGGCAGGCCAAGCAGGAGCAGGGACTCCCTCCTGGGCCGAGGCCGTGAGTTGAGTAGACCGACGGGTGCCTGAAGGCGCACAGGAGTTCTGGCCTCTGGTAGGGATGGGACAGGACCCGGAAGCTGTCCAGAGAGCGCAGAGGGTTCGAGAAAGGGGCGGCTGTGGGGGCCGAGGCCGCCCCGACACCCAGGGGGGAGTAGTAGGGCAAGGGGAGGTGGGACGGGAAGGGGTAAGGCAGGTTCCCAGTGGCGGCGGCGTGGCTCATCATGTAGGTGTAGAAGGCCGGGTCGGCGGGGTGGGGCCACGTCATGGCCAGGCGCTGGCGTTTGTCTTTCATCCTGCGGTTCTGGAACCACACCTGGGACAGAGACACAGAGGGTGAAACATTAACCTCAGCCCTCCCTCTGAGCAACAACAACAACATCACACGACTTCCGCTTTTACGCAGGGCCTTGGATGCTCCTGCTTCATCAAACACCATGAACCATGGTGCGCTCCTTTGACATCACATGATCTTACTTTGATGGTGGTTTCAGGTAGATTCAAGGCAGACGCCAGTTCACATCTCCGCGGCCTGGACACGTAGTTCTCCCGGTAGAACTCCTTCTCCAACCGGGCGATCTGCTCCCGGGTGAACGCTGTTCGGTACCGGCGGATCTGGTCTGCGCCGTAGGACAGGTGAGGGCTCTGACCCGGGACTGTTTTACCCGGGTCGGCTCCGGTGTCACCCGGGTGGCGCGGAGAATCCTCGTTTCGGCCTGAACAAAAATACAGATTATTTTATTTCGTTTTATTTGCCTAACAACCAGTGAAAACAAAAACATATATAATATAATAATTAATTATAATAAACTGTTAAATGAGCTGAAGGAAAACACACTATTTTATTGGATTATTACGTTCACAATAATTACATTTGATGATATAACTATTTCTTTCTTATTTTCCACTGTGTTTTATTTGCTGAAAGGCCTCCTTGACAAGATTAAGAAACCTGAGATTTTTATTTTGTTGGGCTTATTTTTTTAAACTTCCTCTGTGTATTAATAAAAAAATTCCTGCAAAATTCAAAACAAATGTGGCTTTTGCTGCGTTCATTTCTTCTTTTATTTATCTTTGCTTTCTTCTTAGAGGCAAACACAGAACCCAGATCATTTGCAACAAAAGAAATTATAGGAGAATTGAAAAAGAAATCATAGAGCAGCATATGAATACAGTTGTTGCATCCAGTTAGAATAAAAACCTAAGACAAAAAAAAAAAAAAAAAAAAAACACGCTCAAATATCTTTACATTCCTTTCGCGTGTTGTGGCCACTGCATCAGCATCACGCGGAACATTTGCTGTCAGAGTCAGTGATGAAAACGTCTCACACTGGGGGTGTCACCACAGCTTTTCTGACACAACAGCTGTGCGCGCACAGTTTTATTGGCACAAACTGCTTCCATGGGCGCAGATTGTGCGCATTCTTCACATACAATGCATGCATGACACTTTAAGACGCACATTTTAGCGTTAGCTCACAGAGGAGCTCGTACCTTTGGCCGTCGGGTAGTCCATGCTCTCGGGCGTGCAGCTCACATCAATCTCCTCGTAGAAGTCGGATTCTGTGTCGGAGCTGCTGCCGTTCTTGTGCGGCTGGTCGGTTCGGTGCTTCTCGCCGGATGAAGACGTGTTCCTCCGTGCGCTCCCCTCCTCCTCCTCCTCCTCCTCTTCTTCCTCCACCAGCAGCAGCTCGGTTCTCTCCCGGGAGTAGGTGGAAGCAGCGCCGGGGCTCAGGCAGCCCCTGTGGCCCGGCTTCCCATGCGGTTCTCCTCCATCCACCAGCCTCACCAGCACCTCCTCTCTGCTCTCCATCACCGACCGGGCGCTGATCAGAAAATTAATAGTTGTATTGATGAGAACAAATAAATAAATAAAGGAGTAGCAAAACCTCGAGGAGCTATCTGAGGATGTTGAGGAAGCGCGCGGATGGTGGAGGTGTGTGACTCCTGCAGTCCGATGTGACCCTCAGAAAGGAGCTCGTGAGAGTGCAGAGAAGGAGCTCTGGGAGCGAGCACCATTTACCCCCGCTCCCCCCCACCCCACACACACACACCTCCTCCCTCCCTCTCTCTCCCTCGCTCTCTCTCTGCCTTTCTTCAGAGCTGTCATTCTGATCAGGATGGTCCCCTCTGATGACGCCGCGCATTGATTGTGTTTGTGTGTGTGTGTGTGTGTGTGTGTGTGTGCGTGTGTGTGTGTGTGTGTGTGTGTGTGTGTGTGTGTGTGTGTGTGTGTGTGTATGAATGGGCGGAAACAACATAAAAAAACAGAGCAAGCTTGTCTTAAATTAATTTCCTGTCTTGTTTTGGGGTGTGTCGTGCTACAAATGTTTCTGTAGAAATACAATCTTTTTTATATATGTATATTAAAAATAAGAGGAAGGTTTGTAATTTTATCCAAAAAAATTTTTAATCATCTAGCTATTTCAATATACAAATATTTATTAAAAGATAAATGTTGAATGAATGAATAAATGCATTTTGCGCATTCAGTGTTCCTCTCCTCCTCCTCTTCCTCCTCCTCCTCCTCCTCTGAGGGTCTCCGACAACCCTTTTCCTCATCAGAAGTGGAGTCAAGTAAGTCCCTCAAAGGTCAAGTCTTTTAGACCGTTTTGACAGGATGTCTTATCAGCAGCCTCGTGAGGCAAATGGCATGAGATCATCTGGGCGCCACTTTTACGCATGCGTATTTTTATCCTTTGCCATGCGCAACGGTCTGAACATACACATATATTTCGCTGTTATTTACACGTATCATGATGTGACGGGTTGTGCATGTCAAATTAAATCCAATATGCGAATTCTAACTCATGCACAAGCTATAAAATAATTTATAATTATATAAAAATGTTTTCCATATATGTTTTGAGTTGTTGTTTTCTTTTGTTGTTGTTGTTGTTGTTTGTTTTTAACTCGCTTTAAGGTCGCATTTCCGGGAATAAACTTATTACATTTCTTGTCTGTAAGGAAGGGAGAGCAAAGCTGCAAACCAAATTTTACAGACCGATTTTTTAATCACAGGTTCATGTAATTATGAAGCAAAAACTCTGGTTCTCATATGATCAGATTATTTCTGAGAAGGCAAAAACACAAACATCAGCAACTGCATATGAAGATTCGATGTATTCTGCAAACATTTTTAGATAAACTTTACTAATGTTGTTACATGTTTTGTTTGTTTTGTTTTTTTACAGTGGGGTGTCTTTTGTTCTGAATTTGAATATTATTGTGAGTTATTAAACTAAAGTAAATTTTAAACTTTGCCTCTTTTTGATGGACTCCGTGTCCGTTTCCATGAATAAATGGGACAATAAAACAGTTAAATTTGGTTTTCTGACTTTGGTAGTCATTTTCATAATCAAAATAAAAGCATATCGCTGCATTTTGGGTGAATTTTAAATCCGTTTGCGCAATGTGTGGATCTTCCACAGCGATCATCTCGATTTTCCTGCGTGATTCTAAATGAACTTAAGAAGCAGCCGCTGCAGAATCAGTGACGTCTTGTTGAGCCCTGAGGCTGATGTCACACTCAGACAGGAGAGAGCGACGCAGCCTCCGCTGTCCTTGTGCGCCCTCGCCTGTCCGACAGAGGGAAAGAGCCCCGAGCACCACTGGCACCCGCCTCCCCCCCACCCTCCCCTACTGAGGCTGAGAAGTGAGGGGAAATTCCTTTGGCTTTCTCCCCCGACTCTGAAAAAGGAGGAAGGTGGAAAAAAAAAACCTCTTCTGTCTGCACTCGCCTCAATCTCTGATGGGTGGGCTCGTTTTTAGATCATCCCATACTCAATTAGAGGTAAGGCTCAGTCAGTAAACACCACCATGGAATTATAGAAATGTGCTGATGCACTGAACCAAAACAAACAAACAAACAAACAAATAAATAAAAATAACCGTTTTGAGTCAGGGAGAAAAGATAATTTAATTTCATTATGCGTCTTCCTGTCAGTGTGTGTGTGCGTGTGTGTGCGTATGTTTGTGTGTGCGTGTGTGTGCGTATGTTTGTGTGTGCGTGTGCGTATGTGTGTGTACTTGAGCTTGTCAGATCACATCCGAGGAGGCATTCCTTTACAGGCTGAGAAATTCCCTTCTCGTTTGGGGTGGAGTTGTGCTCTGAAATAAAACAAAAGGGTGATTTTTACATATGTGTGTGTGTATGTGTGTGTGTATGTGTGTGTGCGTGCGTGTGTTTAAGGATTTGGTGAAGCGCCTAAATGTTGCTGCTTTGCTCCAAAGGTTTATGCAACGGCAGATCTTGTGATCACACAGAGATAAGGCCCTGTTGCGCAACGCGTGCGTGCGTGACCTTGCGCGTTTACAGTAGTGCCACTTACAGTGTGTGTGTTTAAGACAGTGAAGGACACCGGGTGGGTTCGCTGATTGACCACACGGATCATCAGAGCCGTGCACATTTCTTTAGTTTAGGTTTGCGTGAGGGGGAGGGGGGCATCAAAGAGGGAGGAAAGATGGGGGAGCTCAGTGAGTGCATGCAGCAGACGGTGCAGAATGCGCCCCTCAGGTTTTACTAGCCAGTCTAACTTGAACTTGACCATGGAGCCTGCGCAGTGCGCGTGTAATCCAAGCCACACTCATGGAGCGCAGAGTGGCACAAAAAGCACGAAATGTTGAGATAGAACTGCGCGCAGGTGATGGATGTTCTGTCTGCCTCCTTTTTTTTTACATAAAGAATCTGTAAGAAAGAAAGAAAAAGTCTGCTCTCTCCTTTATTACGGCGGCCCCTCCCGTCTCGGTTGCTTCAACTTGGCCTTGAAAGCGGATGACGCATCGGACCGAGAGCTAACTCGTTGACCTTGGAGCCAAACGAGTCGCGGTGACTAAAACAGGAGGAAATGCTCTGGAAGCACATCCTTTACCAGATCTCCGCGCGCCACTGAGATCAGGCCTCTTCTAATAACCAAGTGAAGTTTGGAGGGGGGAGGGGGGCATGGTTTACCACCTACAGCAGTAGCAAGGCGACACACCAGGTGCAAAGCTCTGTGCGTCCCAGGCATCTTGTGGAAAGGTGATATTTACAAGTCTGTCTGCAAGGAGCGTGGTGGTGGTGGTGGTGAGGGGGGTGGGGTATTTTTTAGGAGGTGTCGGTGTCATCAGCTCCTCTCGCTGTCCCGCTACTTTCTTTGTGCTCTGCTCTCTGGCCATGTGCGGGTTTTTAACATTTTGGATTTCCATCTTTTGTCCCGATGCGGTGCAGCCGGGATGGAAGAGCACGAGGCGTCAGGATGTGAAACTGCAGCTCTGTTGCGGAGGGCCTCACCGTGGCCTCGTGCTTTCTACATTTACTCCCTGAGAAGCAAATATTTAAAACGTGCTTTTTACATTTTACTTGGGTTATTTAGCTTTTTTTAATGTATGAATCCGCAGAATGTATAAACAAATGCCCCAAGGTATAGGTCATAATAAGAAATTGTTGAGTGCTAAGTCTTGACAATGTTCTTGAAACAAACGTTAAAATCATTAGTATTAAATTTTAAATCTCTTTGAGGTTGTCCAGTAATTTTGAAACGCAATTATTTTATTTTCAGGATCAAAAATCAAAGATTGAGTCAACGTTTTTTTTTCCAACATTTTTACTTATAGCCTTTGTAAAACATTTAAAGTTACCCACAAAACTGAATGCATTTTCATAAATCAATCAAAAATGTAACCTTAAAAAATAACGCTAAAAAACATTGTTAAAATATATTAAAATAAAGTGAAGGGGAAAAAAAAAAGCCACGCGGCTTGACACTGGAGTATTTTGTTTAATTATGTTGAAATATCTTATTTGTAGAACTGATTAACTGAGGAAGCAATCAGAAATTAAACTTATTTGGGAAATAAATTGATGATAAATATTCAGTTCTATAATAATAATAATAATAATAATAATAATGGAATGTCAAGAATCAATAATAGGAGCCATATCAAAGTGAACATTGAGTGAAACTCTGTTTCCCTGTCTCGCGCAGCCAGGCCTCGGCTTCAGCATCCTCGTCCCATTTAAAGGGTTCTGCTGCAGAACCGGGCCGAACCTTCAAGCCAGCGTGCGGTTCAGAAGCTCGCAGTGAGAACAAGCTGCAGATGAGACTGAGAACCTGAAAGTGTCAGAAGATGAGCCGCTTAGATTCTTTTTTTATTTTTATTTTTTTCATGCGTCACACCGCCAGAAAACAGTCAAGCGCGAGGCCGACCTGTGGTTCCGAGCCACATAAACATATTAGCTCTTAAGTTTTTTGGCAGCCGAAGACTTTAAGCACGTGGAGGATCTTAGCAACCCGTTTTAATACTTGAACTGGTATTAAAGATGTAAATTTAGAGCTGAGAAGGCGCTTTTTACGCACCGCTCCACACTTTAACCAAACGGGCCGAGGCTGCGGAATAATGCGTCACCAGAACCAACATGAGGGGGAGATTTGATCATAGCCCCCAGAGAAATGTCTCTGGCCAAACATCACGTCTGAATCCAAACTCTGTGTGACCACCGGTTCTTAACACGATGCAAGAATGTGATCAGGGTTTCTAGCAAAAGCCTGTGTTGAATTATGGGGGATGCAGTTTCATTCTCCTCTTCTCTTGTCTGGACTGAACACGTGCGCGCGCAAACCACCACCATGGCGAGGACGCAGCGGGTCCTATTGTTAGTGCAGGACAGGAGGACAAAGAGTGAAAAAACAAAAGCCCAAAGAGCAAATCATGAAAAAAATCAGGCAGAACACGCTGAGATTTGAAAGTAACACGAAGATACTATTATACTTAGGCAAGGAGAAAGAAACACACACACACGCACACACACACACGCACAAGTGGAGCAGTTAATGGTTAAACACGACAGCTGTTTATTCTGGAGCCTCGCTTTGCTTGGAGTGGCGGAAAACGTGACAGCGCGCAGGCCGTGCCATGTTGGCCCTGACTCGTGCCCAGCTCTGCTGCTGCTGACGACTGATTTCACCTCTTGGCCTTTCCTGTGAGATAACGTCAAGATCAAACCCGACTCTGATGACTCGACTCTGATGACTCGGCTCTGAGGTGTTTAGACACAACACAAGGCGCACAGTCGTGTTGGGTATTTGGCACGCGTAAACAAAAGAAATGACACATTTAGACAACAAAAGCTCTCCAAACAGAATGTGGCTCGTCTCAAATGGCTGCACCTGTTATGACCAGGAGCTAATTCCAGCTGATTCTGGCCTCAAATTGGCTAAAAAATGAAAATGTTTTAATCTCTATGTTTAATGAAAAGGTCCAACTTTCTCTTTGTGCTGTCAGCGTTTTAGAATTAGCGCCATTTGGGTCAAAACGGAAACACAACATGCTTCATCTCACGCATTATGAGATGTCACGCTTACAGTGTGTGTTGAGAACGACTCTCAGCTACTACCACAATAAACTGGCTCAATATCTGTAAAACTAGACGAGTTATATTTAGTTTTGTGTTTGTTTATGACGGACATCTCGAACCGAATCGACTCCGTTAATCATCTATTTCTGCAAGTTCCATTCGGATCAACCCAGACTAATTATATTATTTTATTTTAAATGAATTAAAGCTTTAAACTTACATCTTGCGCAACGAGTAGCACTTGGAGTGTGTTGTGAATGAGCAGCTCGGTTCTCTGTCATGTTTGTGTTTCCTAATGTCAACTAGTTGCAGCGCCGTCTTCAAAAGTTGATCAAGTTGTTACTTTCTAAAAAAAATCATTAAACTATTCAGTGGTTCATGAGATATTTTGCTAACAGATCACCATTAGGCCATTATCCGTAAAGTAAAACAAAACTGACGGCGATATGTTTCTTGCCAATCACGTTTTTCTGCAGGTTTCATCAAAATCTGTGATTTATGAGATATTTTGCTAACAGACAGGCACACAGACGCGCTGATACCTTGCGACGGTAATAACAGATATGATCACATCTGGATTCAGATGTTTCCTCTCATTTTAAGCGCATCAGGATGATAAATTGTGTTTTTGTTCCATGTACGTTTGAGAGGATTTGATTAGTCTTTTTCAGAGCCGTTTTCTTCTTTGGACCTCAGATTACACGAAGCAGACTTCTTGTGTTTAAACTGTGTCTGTTTTTAGGACTTTTTAAACTATTCATGTCGGGATTGGCGCCAATTTTGCTGCATGCGCTTCTCAAATTTATCACAATAAAGATATCCATCCTAATTTTTTTTTTAAATATATAAAATTAAGGGTCGAACAACAAGCGTCGTCATCTGTGAGTGTTTTTTCTTTTTATTAAGAAAAATACAAGACCCTTGAAAAATAAATAAATAATTAAATAAATGATTGAATGAATACAGACATAAACGAGCCAAAACTTTCTCTCTGCGTCAGTGACTGAAAAGTCTCAGTTCAGACACACACGCACGCACGCACACACGCACGCACCGTCCCCATTCTCCCTCAAAGACCAACGTCGTGTTCACACATCCGTGCCAAATAAAACACCTCCGCCAGAGCCGCCATTTTTAAGAATTCCAAACCACGTTTTGTGTTTTTATTCTTTATTATTCTATTTGATCATTTAAAGGACGCACTACGACGCAGTCTATATATAATCCTGAGCCGGTAGGCGCGTGCACAGACTAGCTGTCGTGGGAGAAAAACAAGAAATGACAGTAAAACTTAATGCCCTCCAATAGCTTTTCATTGGGACAGGAATTCTCACTCCTCTTCCGCTCTTTTCAGGAGCCAGCAGACGGGGGCCCATCAGGAGCAGACGGGGGGCCATCAAAGTCTGCGACGGGCTGGAGGGCCAGACAGCAACTAGACTTTCAACTTGACCTTGGCCTCCAGCCGCGTCCACCTCCTCCAGCATGTAAAACACAGCCGAGTCCAGAGCTGCTCTCCGGCCTTTGCATGTTGTAAACAAGTCGGAAGTGGAGCGTGTGGAAGATTCTAAATCATTTGTTTTTACCAGTAGAAAGATAATAAATCAAGAGCCATTTGTTTTGGGAAGAATTACTGCGATGCCTCGTAGGTAAATGATTCCAAGTCTGGGCTTTTTCTGTTGCGCAAAAATGTCCCAGCACGGTCTCCGTGTTCCACATGGAAATAAGGCCGATGAATATTTAAGCTGTTGGTTTGATTAAAAGCTGATTCTGTGTTTGATCGAGTTCAAACCCTGATCCGGTCTGCCTCGAACACAAAGAGAGGTCGGTGTCCATGTGTAAAGACTGAACCATCCGGATTACTGAGATGAAGGAGATTTTTGTTGTTGTTGTAGAATGTGGCAAACAGCCGACTTTGATTTGAATTGTGCAGATATATACAACTCTTATAAACAATTCAAACGTGAATATGATCGATCACTTGTTTGAAATGGCTCAACATACAGATTGAAAGGGCTTGTTTTGTTCCGGCTGCGCCATATTCAGTAAGAATAATCAGTAGAATAAAAAAAAAGACAAAAGAGAAATCCCTTGAAAGGTACCACATACACCCCCTCCTCCCCCCGCCTCCCCTTTTCCTTTCGCCGCATTATTTTCCATTTAATTATCTGCTGATGTTTACCGTCCTCTTTGCCCAGCCTGGCCACGTGACGCCGCCCCAGCCAATAGGAGCGCAAGCCTCCCCTGCGCTCTTGTGCGCGTCAGAGCTGCTTTTACTCCGGGAGAAGCCGCGGTCGCTCCTTTTTTCACTCGCTGGGCTTTTAAAAAAACAGTCAGAAGCTTCGATGTTGGATGCCGTGCTATGACAACGTCACTGCTCCTCCGTCCTCGCTGGGTCGACCCGTCGGTGATGTTCCTCTACGACAGCAGCGATGAAGTGAGCAAGAACATGGAGGGTTTCGCTGGTGGCAACTTCGCCGCGAGCCAGTGCCGGAATCTGATGGCGCACACCGCCTCTCTGGCGTCCGGCTACTCGTCGAGCGACGTGCCCCCCTCCGGTGTGAACGAGCCCGTGAAGCAGTGCAGCCCCTGCTCTGCAGCGCAGAACCCGACGGGCGCCTCGCTGCCCTACAGCTACTTCGGCTACCCGTGCAGGATGTCTCACCACAGCAGCATGAAGGGAGCGCAGCCCCCCAGCGCGTATGGAGACAAATACATGGACACGGCCACCTCTGGTGACGAGTTCTCCTCCCGGCCGAAGGAGTTTGCCTTTTATTCAACGTACCCATCTGGCCCCTACCAGCCTGTCCCGAGTTACCTGGACGTGCCCGTGGTGCCAACAATCAGCGCGCCGTCAGAAGCCAGGCACGAGTCGCTGCTGCCCATGGAGAGCTACCAACCGTGGACTCTGGCCCCCAACGGCTGGAACAGCCAGGTCTACTGCGCCAAGGAGCAGCCTCAGCTGGGACACATGTGGAAGTCGTCCATACCAGGTAGGCTGAGCCGCTGCAGCCTCAACAGGACGGAGCTGTTTGGCATGTTTTGCGCGCCATTGTACAGTACAGCGACATTTCCAGCGCGCAGAACACGTGAATGAAGGAAGTGCCTGAACCTGCAGAGCAAAACTGTGATCACGGCACGAGTTTACCACAAATAAATTCATTACGATGTAAAGGGCGTGCAAGTGGATTTGTTTCGATTTGAAAGCCGGTTTGGACAAATTGATTAGTTGGGAAATTTAAAAAATGCACAAAATGTATTGGTTCGTTTGGAAATAATTGCAACAAATATTTTATTTTGTATCAAAGCAAGTTAAAAATTCGTCACTTGAGTTTGTTTTTACTGAGTCTACAAGTTGGAACATCTCATTAATATATATATATATATTTAATCTATTGTGTTTGTCAGATGCAGTTTCTCACGCTGGAGGAGACTCCGGCTCGTTCCGACGCGGCAGGAAGAAGCGCGTGCCATACACCAAGGTGCAACTGAAGGAGCTCGAGCGCGAGTACGCCGCCAATAAATTTATCACGAAGGACAAACGGAGGAGGATATCAGCTCAGACCAACCTGTCCGAGAGGCAGGTCACCATATGGTTTCAGAACAGACGCGTAAAGGAGAAGAAAGTTGTCAACAAATTAAAAACCATCAGCTAGTTTTTATTCTTAATGTTGTTATTTTTAAATAATTGGTATTCTCATTATGGACACAATCAACTGGGGATACACACGCGTTTTGGACACATGGATTGGGACAACGTGCTCCTTCCTGACTGAACTTTATTCAAATGTATTTAGGCAATTTTTCCCTGAGCCTCTGCAACAAAAGTGCCGGGGGCCTGAAGGCCGGACCCTCCATCTCCTTATTTGTTAAATATTAAGTGGAAAAAGAAGAAAAACTAGATTATAGCTGCATTAGGTGTGACTTTTCTTTTTTTCCCCCTTTCTTCAAAGCATGAAAAACAAACTGTCCTCTGTTGAAGAGATGTGCGCCACCGAGCTACACCTTTATCTTTAACAGGGGCGATAAATGGAAGATTGACAGGGAGCTCTGCGGTTCTGGATTTGGACCTTGGGAATGTTAAATATTAATCCGCTCCATCCCTTTGAGAACTCTATTTTTATGCTTTGCTTGTTTATGAAGTCTTAATCTTATCATATGAACCCGTGCTTTCATCCACATCCAGTCCATGGTGCAATTCTCATTATAATGCTTAGATAATCGTGCTGGAGATGTCTTCTTGTCAATCATAGCTTCGTTTTTTTTATTATTATTATATATATATTGTGTGTGTCTTCATGTGGTTGTATATAAGTATAAAAGTAAATTCCGGCATGATATCCCGGTTGTGTAGAGTGTGTTAAAGTCCGTTCCTGTAATAAAATATAGACTGGGTCGGTTTTTATCTGAGTTATGTTTAAGATAAACTCTTTTTAAATATTTTTTGTACCGTTTAAGAAATAATACCAAAAAAAAAAAAAAAGCGTTTACGTCATTGTTACGCAGTCATATTAATTCCTGAAAATTGTTTAAGCGATGAAAAAGACTTGTAAAATTTCCCAAGATAAATAACATCCAAAAGTACTACACAGCAACTCTTATGTGGACACTGTATCAACAGAAAAAAGACAACTTTTGCAGCTGGATGTTCACAGATGTAGCTACAGATTCACTGGCTGAGGCTGGTCACTGCGGAAATATAGACAAACACTGCCATCTAGTGGCCACTTTGTGTCTTACACCCATGGAAAATTGATCTACTCAGCAATAAAAATAATTTGCAACCTCACGTTATTTCGTAAAAAAAAAAGACATAGTTACATAAACATGCGCATGTGAAAACATAATTTATTTATTTTTAATTATACTAAATACACAAATATTAGTTCGAACTCAAAACGATGCACTCAGTGACGTTTCAGTGTGAAACAAGAATATTTCTTCAACAAGGTGACTGTTTCTCATTTAGGACAAACAGCTCACAGGCCATAGGAAAAACGTTCTCTCAAAACAAACAAACAAAAAAAAAAACATAACTAAACTGTCATTATTTACCCAACAGCCCGTCTTGTGTTGTGTTGTTGTGTTTAAAATGCAATGAAGCAAAACGAAATTTCCCATATTTGTTATTTTCTTGTTTTCAAATTAAAAGTGTTTGGCCACCGACATACAAAACTTACAACATTTTTCAAATAAATTAAAATGAAATAAAATAATAAAATTTCAATTCAGTTTATTTATCGCCATGTTTCAACAGAAGTTATCTCCTAT